GCAGGAAAGAAAAACATAAGCAGATTAAACTTCTGTTTTAACAAATCAATGTCCATGTCACATTAAGAATTATTGCAACAGGTTATAATCTATTGCTTCTTTTATTCCCCAAGATAAGGAGGACATCATACAGAGAAGGGAATCGGCTCACTTGAAAACCCGTCTGTTCACACCGTCCGGCACGGTCAACCAGCTTCTGAAGGGGGTACTGACCAACAGGCCAATAGATGGAGAGCAGCAAAACTTCCTGCGAGGACTCCATCTACATAAAGATTACCATCAGCACTCACAGTTTACTACATGGACAGGTAAGTCATGAGATGACTAAGTGCCACTCCAAAATGATCGCTACCAAAAAATAAAAAGATATATTGTTTAGCATCGCAACCGTTCACGATGTTCATTATTACATGTTGACATGCATCAGTGGCATCCCTGACCTTTTTGCTGCCTGAGGAGGCGGGGAAAGGGTGCCAGGCGGTTGGGGGCAGGATGCTCTGGCTGGCGTCCCGCTCAGCTTTTCTTTTGTTTTGCCGGCCAGAGCATCCCAGGTTGCTAAGAGCTAGGCGGAGAGATGTGTATGGCCAGCATGAGAAGCCTGACCAATGAGAAGCACTTCTAACCACGCTGACCAATGTGAAGCACTTCTTGCTAGGAAGCGCTTCTCATAGGTCAGCGCCGTCAGGGCGAAATTCGCAATACATAGAGCAGGGCTGTGCTATATGGCAGTACAGCACAGAGGAAGGAGCATTCGCCAAAAAATAACTATAGAAGGGGGTAATTTATTCACATGTGTGATTCGTTTCGCTCCGAATCAAATTTGTATGAATTTTCAGAAATTCGGGCATTTGGACACATCTGAATTTCCGAATCCCAATGCATCCGAATGCATCTGAATCTGAATTTCTGTTTACCCATGCATCCAAATGGGTGTGTGAATACAAATTTTCGTTATGGCAACATGGGAGCCATATACAGTATATACATATAATACTAAAGCTGAGGTTCCTAGACCCAAATGGCATTCGGGATCCGAATTTCCAAATTGCATTCAGGAGCTCCCGAATGCCATTGGTGTCTGGGAGCCTCAGCTTTAGTAATACAGTATATGTACCGTATTTTGCGGTCTATAAGACGCTCCGGACGATAGGACGCATGGCTTCTGTGACAGAAATTCTATGACAGAAATTCTGTCACAGAAGCTGCAGTTAGTGACTGCTGAGACAGGTGGCGCTGTCTCAGTAATCACACGGAGCAGACGAAGAACGACGTTCTTCGTATGCTCAATGGGCTCTATGGTGAGCTCCTATGGGGGACCGTGACGGGTCACGGTCCCCCAGAGGAATGGGGTACCCAGAAAACCACGGCGGGGGGGCGGACACGATCGTCGATGCCGCCGCCGCTCGATTTAATACAAGGGATCTAATTAGATCCCTTGTATTAAACGAACAGCGGCTCCCACTGTACATTCAGCTCCGCTTGTCAGGAGCAGGGCTGAATGTACAAAAAGAAACTACTCGCCCGGCGCCCGAAACTGCATGTCCCGGG